GGTATGGGAAGTCACCTGCCTGCTGCAACTTGCCCTAGAAATACATGTCTACACAGTGAAGCTAGAATAGCTTCTGGAGTCCTGAACCAGCTTGTCAGTTTTATTCAGCGTCTATGAAGCTAGAAGCCAATCAGCTCTGCCTTCACATGCAGTCATGTCCCAGTCACTTGCATTACTGTGCACAGAGCATTCTTACACATACAGGGAGTTATAAAGTACAGGCTTCCCCTTATGCCAGGGGTGGGCAAACTTTTTGGTCCGAGGGCCACATCTGAGTATAGAAATTGTGTGGTGGGCCATGAATGCTCATGAAATTGGGGTTGGGGTGCGGGAGGGGGTGAGGGCTCTGGCTGGGGGTGCGGGCTCCGGGGTGGGGCTGAGGATGAGGGGTTTGGGGTGCAGGAGGGTGCTCTGGGCTGGGACCGAGGGTTCGGAGGGCAGGAGGGGGATCAGGGCTGGGGCAGGGGGTTGGGGAATGGGGTGGCTGGGGGTGCATGCCCTGAGCGGCGCTTACCTCAAGCAGCTCCCAGAAGCAGCAGCATGTCCCCCATCTAGCTCCTATGTGGAGGTGTAGCCAGACGGCTCTGCGGCACGCTGCCCCATCCGCAGGCGCCGCTCCTGCAGCTCCCATTGGCCGTCGTTCCCGGCCAACGGGAGCTGCGGGGGCAACGCTTGGGGCAGGGGCAGCAGATGGAGCGGAGCCCCCTGGCTGCCCCTATGCGTAGGAGCCGGAGGGAGGGACATGCCGCTGCTTCTAGGGGCGCCCCCTGACCCTGCTCCCTAGCTGGAGCGGGGCAAGCTCCAGACCCCACTCCACAGCGGGAGCTTGAGGGCTGGATTAAAACGACTGGCGGGCCGGATCCAGCCCACGGGCCGTAGTTTGCCCACCCCTGCTTTATGCTGTGGCAAGAGGATAGTCTAGTCTTCACACCTGACAGTCCAGTCTCCATGGACCATTCAGTCCTTAACCTTTCTTCTGTGATGTGAATTTGTTGTACTAATAACTGAGCTGAGACCTCACCCAGCTCATTTCACATAGACCACTCAACATACATCAGATTGTAATTGCTTTGATTACTGTCAGCCTGGTCTAGATTCAAGCCAGGAATTTAGAATTGAATGGCTGTGCTGTCTCATTACCGTCCCATGAACTATCTTGTCTCTTCTCCCCCATGTGTGATAGCTTAACGCCAAATTATTATTGGATGGGATTCCTACTGTCCGTTCATGCTAGATCTAAATGCTGATACATTGCATTTATTCTTCTGATGTGGGTTTTCTGAAGCTGTTGCTCTTTGCTACAGTGTGCGGCTCTGCCGCGGGGCGTGTCAGTTATTAGACGGCCTCCTAGCCCCTCTATGGGTGAATTTGTCAGGTCTGACGTTTTCCCCCTTCCCCTTGCTAATACCAAAACTAAATAGATTTTAAAAAATAGTTTGAATACATTGTTATTTGGTCGCCTTTCATGGGGGAAGAAAAACACAAATTAAAGCGCAGTATGACTATTTTATGCGATATGGTACTACTTCCTCTTGTGTTCAGCTGGATCAGTTCTGCATTCTTGTGGTTTAAAGGCATGAAAATGGACTGCCCTGATCTTGACCAAGGCTCTTCCTTGGAAACCCCAGAATAAGCATGTGGCTTGCATGAGTTCTTGCTTAGAAATGTCCAAGACAACATTGCTCAGATTTAAATCGCTGTATTCACATTGCAAAGGGGTGGGGGGGGAGAGACAAGTAGTACGTTCCTGAAACTTATTCTGGACTGATTATGAAAGGGCTATTTGTTTAATCCTTAGGACTGATGATTAGAGATCTGTTTTTCAAAATGGCTTCATTATATTTGTCATTAATGCCTCTCAGAAACCAGATCAATGAAAGGAAAACCTAGGAAGTTGTCCCATTGAACGAAGGCATAAACGCTGTCTTGTTAGACGTATGCATCCGGGCTGGGATCAGCAGGGGTTATACAGGTAGAAATTCTGCTGTGTGTTTTCAGCATAACTCTATTTCAAAAGCTCTCCAAAATTTTTATTTTTTAATGTACCTAGTGCTCTTTTGCCCTTCAGAGCAGATACTTTGGATTGTCTCCAGCAAGATACATGAGGAAACTGAAAGCAGTAACGTTTGGGATGGTACAAGGCTACCAGTGAGAACCTCCCTAGCTCTTACATGCATTAGCAATGTGTCTGTAAACTGCTGTTGGTATCTCGATGCTGCCTTGGAACGGAAAGACATGGTTTGTGTTAATGTCTTCAAGATTACTGCCAATAGAATATTAGGACCGTCTTTTTAAAAAGAATTTGGATATGCCACATGAATGTTTTTACTAAAATAGAAACAAAAGCAGACTGAGCCGTTTTATCGGAAAATGCTGGAGATCTCCAGTTAAAAGTAGCTGAAGCCCTGCCAGACAGGAAATTGATCTAGGCAGAGGTCGTTCAAGAAGAGCTGTGAATGGTCAGACTTCACAATTTTTACACGCTTTCTGCCTGGCAATTTTGACATTCCCACTCATCTGGTGTGCTCTTCATTTTGTGACGGTTTCCTACTGTGTGTTTGTGTGTTTCTTTCAAGTGCGTCCTTATGGTTATGCTAATTTTGCATGTGTGTACGTTTTATTTTATTTTAAACCCATTCCAAAGAACAGTTTAGGGACTTCCTCTCTGCTCAGCATACTCATATAGTGGAGAAATGAGAGGCAGATATTTTATCCCTTGAGCAGACTATCACAGAAACCAGAGTCTTTGTGCAGAAAGTATTAATTGGGTTACATTTTAAAAAAATGGCTGATGGGTGTATGTGCGTGGGTGTGTGAGAGAGAGAATGATGTTTTAAAAAAAAAAAGAAAAGAAAAAGATGCCTCAGTTCTTAGGTGCCGGACTACAATCTCCTTGGGTCAGTTTACTAGAAGTACCGAGCAGTGACCGCTCTTAGTGACGTATCTGGAGTTGAGTGCTCAGCGCCTCTGGAAAATCAAGCCCAGGGTTTGTCAAATTGGACGTCCAGTGCCCCTGGCCACTCTTGGAAATGTTGGCCTTGCTGTCTAGTTTGGCATCTGACTAAAACTACCAGTGACCTTTTCAAGCTTCCTCTTGTTCTAACTTTAAAATATGTGAAAATCTCTCTCCTTCTACCAATTATTGTCTACCCTGAAATACCTTTTTCCCCTTTTTTTGAAATTGCCATGACACGCTTTTTGTGTGTATTTTTGTTCATTCACTACCATGATCAGTGCAGCTTTGCAAACAGTGTTTTGACTTCCTTCTGCCTCAGTGGAACAAAACAGTGTTTTGACTTCCTTCTGCCTGGAAGAGCTGTGAAAAATCAGGTCTTGGTTTGCCTGGGTAGGAAATTTACCACAATGCGGTAGAATGATCAGAAGCATCCGTGTGGGGATCGTGTGTAAATGTTAAAATAAATCCTACAATATTATTGTTTCTTAGTACAGTGGAGTAGCTTCTGTAAAAGCAAACGTGTACCGTAAATGTATTACTCACCAGGATTTACTTGCAGGGTTTTCAAATGAGTAAGGCAGCAGGATGTGAGCTGCCTAAGCTGTCAGGTCACTTGGCAAGGAAGTGGCTGCATATGTTTCTGACCCCTCCCTATCTGCAACCCGCAATCTAGCTGGCACTACGGAGACCACATGAAATACTTCTTTTAAATGAAGAAGCTTTAAACTTTGGCCTTTAGGAATACTGGTATAAGGTTTTTTCAGCAGGCACAACAAACTATCCCAGGCCGTATAATTTGAGGAGCCGGGAAATGCAGAACCTGCTGGTTTTAATCTGTTGATTGCATTTATTCTGGCACTTGTTAAAACCCTAAAGTAAATCCTGTGTGGGAATGGTGTGAGGGTTGGAAATGGTACTGCATGTCACTCTGGACGGGGTTTCAGGAACTGAAGGAAATAAAGAATCTACGCAGAGAAGTCATCTCTGTGTACACGTAGGTTTCCTGAAAGAGGATTGTGGGGGAGAGGGAATAACTTCCTGAGTTTTCTTAGTGGTGGGGAGGGGTTGGCTAGAGATACCTCATTCCCTTTTTAAAATGGAAGAGGTATTTTTTTTACAATGTAGTCTGTGTGTTCAGATGTGGGATGACTGTCATGGTTACTGTCCATGATACAAAATTACTCAAGATAGTTAAGACCCAGGCAGACTGTGAAGAGCTACAAAAGGATCTCTCAAAACTGGGTGACTGGGCAACAAAATGGCAGATGAAATTTAATGTTGATAAATGCAAAGTAATGCACATTGGAAAGCGTAATCCCAACTATACATATAAAATGATGGGGTCTAAATTAGCTGTTACTACTGAAGAAAGAGATCTTGGAGTCATTGTGGATAGTTCTCTGAAAACATCCAGTCAATGTGCAGCGACAGTCAAAAAAGCGAACAGAATGTTGGGAATAATTAAGAAAGGGATAGATAACAGGACAGAAAATATCATGTTGCCTCTATATAAATCCATGGTACGCCCACATTTTGAATACTGCGTGCGGATGTGGTCGCCCCATCTCAAAAAAGATATATTGGAATTGGAAAAGGTTCAGAAAAGGGCAACAAAAATTATTAGGGATATGGAACGGCTTCCATATGAGGAGAAATTAATAAGACTGGGACTTTTCAGCTTGGAAAAGAGACAGCTAAGGGGAGATATGATTGAGGTCTATAAAATCATGACTGGTATAGAGAAAGTAGATAAGGAAGTGTTTACTACTTCTCATAACACAAGAACTAGGGGTCACCAAATGAAATTAATAGGCAGCAGGTTTAAAACAAATAAAAGGAAGTATTTCTTCACCCAGCACACAGTCAACCTGTGGAACTCCTTGCCAGAGGATGTTGTGAAGGCCAAGACAAGGCCAGGGTTCAAAAAAGATCTAGATAAATTCCTGGAGGATAGGTCCATCAAGGGCTATTAGCCAGGATGGGCAGGGATGGTGTCCCTAGCCTCTGTTTGCCAGAAGCTGGAATGAGCAACAGGGGATGAATCACTTGATGATTACCTGTTCTGTTCATTCCCTCTGGGGCACCTGGCACTGGCCACTGTCGGAAGACAGGATACTGGACTAGATGGACCCTTGGTCTGACCATTCTTATGTTCTTAAATCAACAGCAAATGGTGACTGTTTGCCACACAAACACGCTCTTGTCTAGCTTGGAAAAATGACAGGGAAAGAAGTAATGGAAAACTAGTGAAATATGCTTTGCATTTCTCTGTTGGAAACATATTTTAGAATAAGGCAGTACTGAAAGTTATCCTCTCATATTAATTTTTATCCCCATGTAACTGCACTGACTTAAGTGAAGTGACTCCTGACTTCCACTGCATACGTGAGAAGAAAATTGGGCCAAACATTTTTTAACAAGTGCTTTTCCTCATCCCTATGGCATCAAGTCTTTTAAATCTCTCCCCACACCTCCCCTTTCGCTATAAATATCTGGCTCTGAGAAAATAGAAGACCTACAGATTCTGTGGCTGACCAAAGCAGCATCTGACATTGGTTGAAGATTATGTAATAGTTCTCAAGGTTTTGGGGAGATTCATTTTCTCCCATCGTTCATTGCTCATTTGTTTGAGTTTGTTTTATAACTGTAATCCACCATCCTCATGGAGCTCATCTCGTATCCCTGGATATAAAGGCAGGACTATTCCTCCAGAGAGAGAAGTTAGAGCTTTGTTTTGTCCTCCATGGTGCAGGAAGTTGCTGTGTTACTAACGTGCTCTTGTGAGACTAGTGGGGATACTCCTACTTGATAGCAGGTGGTGTGGACTTAAACCATACTTTCTGCTACTTGCCAATCATAGCTTCAGCTGAATTGCAAGTCACCCTCGCACAAATCCTATCCCCCTAGTGATCTTTCCTTTCTGTTCTGTGTTTTATTGCTGTTTGAGCTGTGACTTGTGGGGGGAGGGTGGAAGGAGAAAAACTTGTGATCACCATTTTACATCATCTTTCACTCATGTCAGATGCTGCTTTGGTCTTAACCAAAGTTTTCTTAACCAAGTTACACCTCAAAACCATAGCTGAATGCATTGCATCCTGTTGTACTTTGGCTGAAGTTTCCATTTTGCAAATATCTTAAACTCTTCAGGCTGCTGCTAATTTTACTTAATGTGCAGCTGATCACAGCAGCAAGTTTATCAGGTAGTCTTCCTATTGCACATGATTGGTAAGAGGAAACTATTTGGGGAAAGAAAATTGCAGTGCTAATATAATGCAACATCCTTGAATGCTGTTCACGGTGCTCCCGTGCTAGCCTTAGAAATTATAGGGCCAGATCCCTAGTTGGTGTAAATTGGGGGATATGGTCAATGGAGGTATGCTGATTTGCACCAGCGGAAGATCTGGCTGTATATTACTTGTTAAGGATGCTAGTGATTCCGCAGAGAAAAGGAGGCACTTCTTCAAACTCTGGACACAGGAAAAGTGAGAGTTAAAACTTGGCTTATATATAAAAATATAAGCCAGGTGCACAGATGTCTTAAGAGATTGGAGGAGACCAAACCTTACTCTTCGGTCACTGGCTGTCATCCAGCCCAGGTTAGATTTGACCAAAAGTCATTGCCATCGTTTGACCGTTTGGTATTCTTGGTCCCTTTCCATTGGACACGGCTGCATCACAAACGACCCCCGCACTTGAACGTCTTGGCAGTTTAGAGGGCTTCAGTTTCCAGGGAGGTGACTCCTGGAACTTTCACAAGTTTTACATCCCCTTTAAAAACCAAATCAAAACCTGAAACATAGATGGACTTAGTTACCAAGTAATGCTGCCTATTTAAAAAAAATAGTTGGGTTCTTTTTTTGCTAACTAGTTCCTCAGCTGTGAAAATTCCCTCTTTGTAGGTCTGGGTTGGCTTTTATGAATCACCTTGTGAAAATTTCTCTTGGAAAATTCTTAGTGTCCACTCCACTGGCAAAGTGTGGGCAGGCCTTGAGAGTGCTTCTCCACCAGGTTTTGGTAGTGCATTTCAGTCCTCTCCTGCCATGCCCCCTGCTGTACTGGTAATGAGCAGAGACCTGTGCGTGGCCTTTAACTACTTGCCAGCAGAAACGGGAAGTAAATAAAAAGGCCCATTACACCTAATACCAGCATAACTGAGTGTCTTGACTGAAGTCAATGGGATTACTGTGGTGTAAAGACAAGGTAAATGAGAGCAGAGTGAGAACAATCAAAGGCCTCTTTTTTTGTGTTTGGCTGGAGCCCAGAACCAAAGGAATATGCAGTTAATACTCATGCAGTACTACAGCTTTCCTTTGAGACTCCAAAGTGAGGAAATAGCGCATGCTACCATTTCTCTGGAACTGATTTCCTTCTGGAAGTGGCTTCAGACCGTGAACCTGCCCTTTACATTGTTAGGTTTTTTTTGCCTTTGTTTTGGATATGTTACAGAAGAATATGTGAGATCAATAGTGCATCTAAGTTGAATGGGCACAGCCCCTTGTGTTTCCACTTCATAGAAGAAGTGAAGCGTTTTGTTGCAGGATGTGGTGAGGGTATGACTCGGCTCTTGCTAACCATAGCTACTGTCGCACTGCATTTTGCTGTCAGCGTCCCCTCTTGTTATGACTTTCAAAAATTTTCTCTGTGTGATCAAATGCATCTTAAACTTATTTTTTCCCCTATCTCCTTGGCCCTTCACTGTTGGTCTTAAATTAGTCAAGCAAATATCAGTAGCTTCAGGGGTTCATGCAAATATCTCTCAGTATCGGGGAATGTGTACCCTGCACAAACCAAGGCAAAATTTGGTCAAAAGCGCAGAGCTTCGCTTGGGTTCATCTCCAAACTGGCCCAGGCTCACTTCATCATGAGTGAATCTCTCAATGAACCTGGCTGGAATTTTGAGTGGGTCCCAACTCAAAAATGTGGGTGGGTGGGTGGGTGTGGGCACCCCGCCCTTTCCTCTCTCGTTGGAGTGACTTTGTGAACATGTGGCATGGCTCCAGAACTGAACTTCATGGCTGTTGGATTGCTGGCAATATGGGTTGTTAGCCATGGGGTTCTCCTGTATTTTTGGAGTGTGGAACACGTCTTAATAGCGTCTCGGGGCCATTTCTCCTCCCATTGCACAACCGGAAAAACCTCTGGCAATGAAGGCCATTGCTTACATGGGAAAGTAACATTAGGAAAGTGTTTGATGTGTTCTTCATTCTCCTTAATGCAGTGTAGCAGATGCGCCAGCACCATACGAGCAGCCAGCTCTCCTCAGATGACTAATGTCTCCAAGAACCACTGTGGAGCTACGCAATGCTTCTGTTGCAGGCTGACTTAAAATGGCCTGTCTTCGTTGGGCTGGTCAGCACTTTCCTCATTACAACACCCAAAATCACGTGTCTGTTTCACAAGAGGAATCCTGTCATTCAGGGTCAGATTCGGATACCCTAGCTCACGTAGAGAGTAGTCCCAGTGATTTTTTAATGAGACCACTTCTGGAATAAGTTACTCCCCCATGTCTTTAAGGGTGTTAGAATCTAGCCTTTGTTGAGGATCCAGCCTGAAACCAATCTCCCTGCTATGAGTCCATGGACACAGCTGTTGTGGGTAATATTTTACTCATTTCTGCCTAGTAGCAAAATAATGCTGTGCCAGTTTCTGAATGCTTTCATAAAACAATGTAGCTACCTTGGTACCATAGTGGTAGAGTCTTGGTGTCTTGTAGTAGTAATAACAGTAATAATCTGCTTCTTCACCCACAATAACTTGGCAAACTGGGTATAAACCTTCTCTCACTTAATGTTTTGTGTAGAAGTCAGTGACCTGGGTCTGCAACACTTTCCCTACAGTGACAGAGGCTGAATGAGGAACCTCTTTGAGAACTTGACCCTCACTCTTCTACCTTGTGCACTTCCCTTAAAGAAATCTAGTCCTAAGAGGAAAGGGGAGGGGAAACGAAGCATATTTGGTGTTCGTTTCAGTTCTATGAGTTTGAGGTGTATGTCCAAACCTTCCCACTAAGGCATTCAAACAAATTCACTCCTTCTGAACAAAGTCTCTTGTTGAAAAAGCTGCCCCTCTAACTACTGTAAATTCTCTGTGTTGCAGATCAGAAGGTACTTGGAGAACCAGAGGCGCTCAGAGATATTTCTGTGAAGATAGAGGCCATTACGACCTTGCCATTGGAAACTGTCCCACCGCTGTGTGTCTCTAGCTGTCGTCACTGAAGACTTGTGAAAGAGAGGAGGGAAAAAAGAAAAATGTCCAACCCTTTAAAGCAAGTGTTCAATAAGGACAAAACCTTTCGGCCCAAACGCAAGTTTGAACCTGGGACTCAGCGGTTTGAGCTGCACAAGAGGGCTCAAGCCTCTCTCAATGCAGGGCTGGACTTGAAGCTGGCCGTCCAGCTGCCATCTGGTGAGGAACAGAATGACTGGGTGGCGGTGCATGTGGTGGACTTCTTCAATCGCATCAATCTGATCTACGGCACCATCAGTGATTATTGCACGGAACAGTCCTGTCCGATCATGTCTGGGGGACCCAAGTACGAGTACAGATGGCAGGACGAGCACAAGTACCGGAAACCCACTGCCCTGTCTGCTCCCAAGTACTTGAACCTCTTGATGGACTGGATTGAGGTGCAGATCAACAATGAGGACATTTTCCCCACCAATGTTGGTAAGTTCAGGTCTGATTTGTGGGGAAATTAATTGGACTGACACAAGATCAATTGATTTAAATCAGGGCAATTTACATCACCAAATGGAAAACCTTGAGTTAAATGATCAGTGTTAAGGAACTTTTCCATTGGTACTTCCTTTATTTTCTAAAGAGAGGTGCATCCTCATTGGTTGATATAACCATTAAAACATGTCGATTTACAACTAAATAGAGCCTTTACGCTAGATTTGGAACGTCTTTTTGCTACCTAGGAGGGTACACTATAACTCTTTATATTTATTTAAGCATTTATATAGCTTAATGTTTTCAGATTCTTATTAATTGTACAGTTTTAGTATGTTAGAAAATGGTGAATGATGTATTGTTCATCGACAAGATAATCAACTTATTGGTGACGATTTGTGTCAAGCCGCACTAGGATGATAATGGGAATTTAATTAAAAACACCAAATGGCATAGAATATTTATTTTTTATTAAACAAAACTACCTTAAATGTTTTGGATACATGAATTTTAGTGTTTTTTCATGAGCTGGAGAGGAAGTTTCCATGCTGGGTGGAGTCATAAATATTAATAATTTGAGAACTGAGCTAAGGTAGGGAGAAGCTATAAAATAGAAGTATGAGACCCCCCCCACCCCCACCCCACCCCTCTGGTGACTCAGTGGATGATCCTGATGAGATGCACATAGTGTCTCCTGGAGTCAGAAGCTGGGTCCCAATCCGTGTGATGACTTTGCCAGTCCCTTGCAGCCAGTGGCACAGGCCTGGGTCCTCCACAGGGTCAAGCTCTTAATACAGGACATGACCTGTTGTGCCATGTTGATAAAACAACCTCAAAAGTTTTCCCCATCTTCTTTCTTTATATAGAAAAGCAGCTTTTAACTCGGAGTTTGTCATAGAGGCTCATGGATTCAACATATTTATTTTTTTATTTAAATGTGTTAAGGCCTAAACTTATCATCATCTCTTAACATATTTTCTATTAAATTCAGATTTCATTTTAAATGAGTTTATTTTTAAAAAAAGAAAAACGTATTCTAATTTAAATAACAAAATAAAAAATATCCGATTTCTTTTTCAGAAAAATCGACTTTTATCCACCAGTACTGACTCTTGCCCTTTCTAGTCCCCTGTTCCTTTTCCAGTAGGCACTTGTTTATGACAGTGGTTTTCAGCCTGTGGTTCACGGACCTCTGGGCGGGTCTACAGACTCTAAGATTTCCAAAGGGGTCTTCCCCTCCATTTGAATTTTTTTAGGGGTCTGCAAATGAGGAAAGGTTGAAAACCACTAGTTTATGGCATTGGATATCACTGCTGCACAGATCCTTGAGAGGGTAGGTGAACTGCTTCCTCTAGTACTGACTGGCAACTTTTGGGGATTGGTCCTGCTTTGAGCAGGGGGTTGGACTAGATGACCTCCTGAGGTCCCTTCCAACCCTGACATTCTATGAAAGTGACTGCTGATTTTGGATACCTTCGTGCCCAGCCTGCCTAACTGTTTTGTTAAAGAAGTGCCAAGTACCCGCGGTTACCATAGATTTCAGTTAGAGTGGTGGATGCTTAGTACTTCTGGAAAATTAGGCCTAAATTGTTTCAGGCGAGGCACTCCAAATCAGAGGGGGCTCTTGCAAAATTCAAATGGTACATCAGAGATTATGTGGCTGCTGTGAGCATGGGAGGAGTCACTCTGCTCTGCAGAGGTTGGGCTGCTGGACTTGATCTTTCATTCTGAACAGTAGTTTAGGACCGGTGCCTGTGCAACACCTGGATTTAGTCCATGTGATTGTGCCTCCATGGCTAGTCTCGATGGTAATGGCCTGCAACTTACTACTAAAAGTTTATTCTTTAGCTCAGGTAGGCAGGGGCTTGTATTTTTGTTGCTGAAGGTTCTGGGTTGGCTCCCTCAAGGTCAATTTCTGTGAATGGGATTCATGGCTCTTGGAAAATCTTACTCATTCTGCCAAAGTATTTTTAGTACTGTCAGGTTGAGATAACAGAATTTAAAAATTCATCCATTCTGACTGACACCTGGTTGAGGAGGTGGTGGTTGACAGAGGAAAACCGCTTGCAAAATTTATCACTGTCCCATCTAGTGAAGGAAGAGGTCCAAGACTTGCAGAAGGGGTTTGCAATCTTGGACTACGTGGACCCCTGAGTGCTCTTGGAGTCCTTAATAGCTTATAGCTCTCTTCCCCCACATTTGTGATTAACTAGAGTTGTGCCCTTGCCCTCTCATGTAGACTGTGCTGCAGTAATCCAGGTTTGCCCGCTGTACTTCGGGATCATTCAGAAGCACAGCACAGAATGTGGTGGCCCATCAGCTTAGTGGAGCAGATCTGAGTTATGAGCACATCACGTCCATGCTCTGTGAACTACACTTGCTTCTGGCTGCAGTTCAAGGTGTTGATTCCGATTCATACCTGGCCTGGGACTTGGTCACCTGAGGGATTCTTCTCTCTCCTTATGGACCATTGCAACAACTGAGATGTTTTTGACAACAGACCCAAACCTTTGGGATTGGTCATGCAGGGTGTTTTCAGCCTAGGGCTCCAAGCAGTGATGCTTTTTGCTCCCTAGAGCAGCCCATCAGGGCCTGCACTTACTGACTTCATACTCTGGTGCAAGACGCATCTTATTGGCTGCGCTCTGCTTTGCCTGCAGATGTGTGGCTGGTTGGGTGGTTCAGGAGTTTTGTGATCAGAATGACGCACCTCTTATTTTATTTCCAGATCTGACATCTTTCAACCTCCCGTTGCTTAAAAACGAAGGCCAGAGGGCCTGATTCTCATTTGTACTAAGAAGGCTCCTTAACACCACTCTGGCAGCGTCAAGAGGTCGTAGAGTGTGTGTAATGGTAACCTATGTCCCTCTTATGCTGCCAAAGGAGTGTAACGAGGCCTTGGTGTAAACAGTTTTGGAGCCCAAAATGTCCAAACTTGGGTGCCCAAAAATAGGCTCATGAAGCTATATTTGTGCATCTAAAGGAGTGGGCTGACTTTCAGCAGTGTTGACGGCCCACGGTTCCCCTTGTAGTCCATGAGAATTGCAGATGCTCTGCTCCTAAATTTAGCCTTTCAAGTGTTGGCTTAATGCTTTATACCCATGGAGATCTGAGACTCCAGCGTCTCTCTGGTATGGTATAAAGCTTTTGTCTCCGTCTCTTGCAGCTTGTGAAATACTGGACCTTTTTGAAACCTCTCTCAGCAGTGCTTTTTCTTAGCGCTAGTCTGGACCTGAATACAGGGCCTCTTGGACAAGTGTGATTCAGCCCTTGCTCCTTGAGTTAGCACTGCTGCCGCAGAGGTTTGCTTAGCTTTTGGCATAGGGTCAGTCTTCTGCTGCTCTGAATGACCCCAGGTGGTCTTTCAAGCAAAGCCCTAAGGCAGTGGTTTTCAAACTGCGGGTCGCAACCCAGTGCTGGGTCGCAGCGGCTCTGGTCAGCACCATCGACCGGGCTGTTAAAAGTCCCGTTGGCGATGCTGCCTGGCTAAGGCAGGCTAGTCCCTACCTGTTCCGACACCACACTGCGCCCCGGGCAGCAGGTCCGGCTCCTAGGCGGGGGGGCCATAGGCCTCCGCGCGCAGCCCCCGCCCCAAGTGCTGGTTCCGCTCTCCCATTCGCCAGGAACCAGCCAATGGGAGCTGGAGGGGTGGTGCCTGCGGGCGAGAGCCATGCGGAGCCGCTTGTGAGCCTCCACCTAGGAGCCGGACCTGCCGCTGGCCGCTTCCGGGGCTCTCCACGGTGTCAGAACAGGTAGGAACTGGCCTGCTGTAGTCGGGCAGCACCGCCAATGGGACTTCTAACGCCTGGGCTGCTGACTGGGAGACGCCCGAGGTAAGCCTGTGCCCCAACTTTTTGCCCCAATCCCCTGATCCAGCCCTGAGCCTCCCCCAAACCTGGAGCTCCCTCCTACACCCCAAACCCCTCATCCCTAGCCACACCCCAGAGCCTGCACTCCTGCCCCAGCCCAGAGCCTCCTCCCACAACCGGAACCCCTCATTCCCTGCCCCACCCCGCAGCCTCCAGCCTCTCCCACGCCCCAAACCCCTCATCCCCACCTTCGTTGGGTTGTAGGCATAAAAACATTTCTTCAACTGGGTCGCCAGAAAAAAAGTTGGAAAACCACTGCCCTAAGGCAACTCCATTCAGCTCAGGGATAGACTGGGTGATGCAAGGTCTGGGTTGGGGTGGGGAAGCAAGCAGTGGACACTGGAGGGGAGGGGATGTTGCACAAGGAAGGAACAATAATAGTCCCGTGACCCTTTGTCCTAATTCCTGATTTGGTAATGAAACCTGTTTGCCCTGTCTGGACAGGCAACACAGGTCAAGGTTCTGCCAAATGAAGCAGAACCAGATGACGGCTGCCTGGGTGTTTGTGTGGGAGACCAACTAACAAATGGGATAGGGGAGAAGGAGCTGGTTATCCACTTGAGATCCCACCGGATCCCATCCACTCCTGCACTACTTCAGTGTATCTAGAGCATGCCAAGATATTCATCCTTCTCAAAGCGCTAATGAAACGGCTCAATCTGATTGTGTGCAGAAAGTGTCCACCATTACTCAGACCCCATCTGCACACACACAACAACAATACTTAAATGTGGTGACATTGGGGAAGAGATTAAGACAGTAAACCCACCCCCAACCTACAACAGTACCTGTATCAGTTGTCAAAATCCTTGCTGTGTGTTCATCTGGGTAACCACAGGAAGTTCTGGGGTGTGGTCCCTTTAGTTACGGTTCTTCAGCAAGGACCTCTTTTGGACTGAGTGATTGCTGGAACATCTGTTCCATTTGGAGGGGGGAAGCTTACATCATCAAAGGAGTTCTGTCTTGTTTAGAGTTTTCTAGCTATGCTTATAATGCCAGCTTCACTAACTGAACACAGACTGAAAATTAATTTCATGCAGAGCTCTTGGGAGCAGGGGAAGAAGGGTATTTAACGAATACCCTTCACCTCTTACCTCCTCCTTGCATGTGGATAAGCAAGTAGACTTTAAACTCAAGTTGTTTTGTAATTACTAGAAAGAGCAGCTTATCAAACTCTACTGTATTGCAGATTGCAAACGTAGCTGTTCGAATGAAAGACACACAAACAAAATGTCGAATGTGAACAGGGGCCTATAAATGACTGAGCGTAGTATTATCTTAATTTTAACTCCTATTAACCTGAAGGATCCCAAAGGGTTTGTCAAATTTACTAAACTATATATAGGAGCCACTCCTCCCAGGATGCAGCCACTTCTAGAGTGGAGCATGGTGATCTAATGTCTTGCATAATTTTTTGTAAAAATGTCCCAACAGGAACTGAGGGAAACCATATCAAATTGAAACTGCAGATGGAAATCTATATGTGCACTAATCCAGTTTGTATTCGGGTCTCTCAATTAATACAGGACCCAATAGCATAGGTTAATAGCATTAACTTTGGAAAAATTGGTCCAAAACTTGGAGGGAATGCAGTCTGTGAATTACCCCCGAGGAAACTGTTCTTGCATCACTTCAGTACACACTGGACTGTTTCTTTTTATGCTTTAGGAAGACTGCATGGCACCATAGTCCTGGGGAAAGTGCATTTCACTAAATCATGGTGCTCGTATGTTCTTCTTGCAGGTACTCCGTTCCCCAAGAACTTCCTTCAGGTAGTGAAGAAGATTCTGTCCAGGCTCTTCCGGGTCTTTGTTCACGTCTACATCCACCATTTTGACAGGATCACCCATATGGGGTCAGAGGCCCACGTGAACACCTGCTACAAGCACTTTTACTATTTTGTGAAAGAGTTCAATCTAATAGACACCAAGGAGCTAGAACCTCTGGTGAGTGAATTTGGCTGGATTATAGCTATGAATGGCCACAGAGTGGTGCGTCTCAAACAGAACTCTGGGATCCGGACTCCCTGTCCACTGAATACCAAAGCCAAACATTGGATTCAGTTTGAGAGATTCTGAGCGCTGAAGAGGGTGACTGAAATCCTGTCGTACCTATTCCGTCCCCCCCCCCCCCGCCCCCATTACAGCTCAAAAACCTGTTCTTACCCTGCCCTCTTTTATTCTGGCCCAGATCCCAGGGTACCTCATGCGGCTGAGCAGGGCCATTACACCCACGGAGAGAGAAGCTGCCACGTTTGTAGATTCTGCCTGGTAACCGCCTTGTGCTTCAGGCTGCCATCTTGTCTGTTCCCCCACCGCCGCCACCACTCCCCATTGTCTGGTCAATGGCTGAGTCACATGCATCTGCTGTTCCTCAGTCCGGGTGCTGCACACTGCAATGAGCTGTGCACCCCTGCTAGCAAAGCTGCAATTGAATTCCAAGGATCTACGTACCCAGCCTTATCACTGTGTAGCCAGCACATCGCTGTGCACGACCCAGAAAGGCAGGGGGGTAGGATGCGGGTCACGGAGTCATGAGCCCTTGGTCCTAGTCCCAGTTGTCAGTGACTAGCTGTGGGACTTGGAGTGCGTGTGCGCTCAGGCTAAATCACCTCCTCTGTCCCCTCCCTGTCCTTTATTTCCCCTTCTGTAAAATGAGCACAGCGATGCTCACCAACTTCATAAAGAGCGTGGAGGATGCAAAGTGCCCTAGAAGTGCTAGGTGTTGGCATTAGTCTGGAACGGTGGGTGATGGTTATTCTCTAGCTGCATGCAGCCAGACCGATTTTAATCTGATGGGGCAGCTGGGGAGGCCTCCTGCCTGTCAGTGAATAGGAATATGGGGGCAGAGGTTAAAGGTGACGCTGAATTTCTTCCCCATGTGAGTGTTCAAACTGGAATACGTTTTTTTTTTTTTTTTAATTAACAATGCTATGGAAACAACATTCCAAACTTTGAGACTTTCCTACTGAAATGTCCCTTGCCTGGGAATTGTGCTTCTTACCACTAACTTCCCTGTCTCTTGTGTGTCCTTTGCTAGAAGGAAATGACCTCCCGGATGTGCCACTGAGCTCTGGACCTTCCTGCCCTCACCCAGGCCAAGCCGCCTCAGGACTGCTGAACCCCATCGCTGCACCGGAGATGCCGCTCAAGGGACGATCAGAGACATTTCATAGAAATATATTTTTATTGAGCTTTCAACTTAAAATGGAGACTGCAGAAATATTTTTTTAAAGATGCCTTAGATAACTAGTTTTTATGGTAATTTCTGTAATTGTTTGCCACTAGATGGAAATGCATCATTTTTCGTCAGTTTTTTTTAGAGGGGGGAACGAGCATTATGAGAGAACCACCTGATGTTTCATCTCACTGGCCGCCTTGTTGGCTGGCCCTAACTAAGCCTAGTCTGACCACAGACTTTGTTGCTTCAAGTGTTTTTTAAGATGGACTTGCTTTCAACCTAGCCAGGGCGTGGAGTTGGTCTTGAGACCGTAGCAGTGCATGGCACTGGCTGTGGGGGAGCAAGGCTTACCTGCATCCTGAAGGTAGGGTAGGAAGTGCTTTGTTAGGGCAGCTATTCCACTAGGTGAGAATGAACTATAACTGAAATGTGCATATAGACGTGGCTCCTTGCACACTTCTCCAGCCCTTGTGTCTAACTGCCTTTCACTCCATGATTAGGCCTTTCTCTCTGAAAACGTTTTCTGTTCCTTTCTCTGACTTCTCAGCTAGACCACACCTTTCACTGCTTGGGGAAATCAATGCTAATCTCACTCTGTTTATTCCTCTGCTAATCTTTTGAGGTCATTGCTCACGAACACCTGCTTTTCCTAGTTCTAAAGCAGGAGAATACGAAGGTTTCCACCTTTCAAAGCACATTGTGTCAAGGGCAGAGTTGCTATATTAGGGTGCTCTCTATGCTGGGGCACGAATATACCTGGATAGATTTCACTAGACTTCTAGCGGTCTTTCTCCACCTAGTTGTAGGTTCTGTTGATGGGAGGGCGGAGCTTAAGGGGGAAGGAGGAGTTAAAATACTTCTGCTTCTCCTACTGAAAGGAGATATGAGGGGTGAGGCCACGGAGGGCTGCTGGGACAGAAGCTAGCGAAATTTTTTCCAGGCACACCAACTTTTAGCCTGTCCAAGGGCTGCTTGGGCAATTTTCTTGAAGCCCAAAGTCTAGAGCTAATCTGATTAAAATGAAGCAAAGTGAGGTCACTCTTTCCTGTAAGGAGGCCTCCAGGTCCCAGAGTGCAGTTCTCCATCTTGAGCCAAGCAAAGACTGCTAGTTGGGAGGGAGTGTTACGTATTGGATAGGTGAGTGACTGCATTTGGCCCCTGGACTGCGAGTTGCTGCAGAACTGCGTGAGATGTATCTCCACCCGGCGATGGAAGCCCTCTGTCCGTTTCAGCTTGAGTATCAAAGAGAAGCCAAGTTCTGCCACTCCAGAGACCAAATCACTTGTTTAGTCCCCCCCACTATCCCAAGACAAATCGTAGTGCTAGTGAGGCTGTGGGATCTTTGCAGATGTTGCACTGTCCTGGACTTCATTAACTGGTCCTGGCTTGGCCCGCTTTAACTTCTGTAAGTGTCCCACGCCCTCCACCTTCTCTTCCTGAACACCATTTCCCACTCCCTTTCTTCCGGCCGTCTACCTTAATAGACAAAGTCTCTAGTGCAGAGCCACAGTCCTCTGGCTTGCGTACTGCCTGGGGGAGTTTAACTTCGGCCTGTAACTTCCTAATGCAGAGACTTTAGAACACTGATTTCTCTGTGTGACAAAGGAGGGACTGCCTTGGATTTGGGGTGAAGGGTGGGACGGGGGTGGGGTGGGGTAAAAAAGGTTTTTTTTTTTTTTTTTTTTTTTTTTTTTTTGGG